ATTCCTTAATTATATTTATGGACTCTGAACAAATATTATTTCTTAAAACAGTCTGCAGTTTTATTATAATAATTATATTTGATAAATAAGAGCTTGTCCTGGACTTGATTTCTACATAAGATTAGGTAAGATTTTTCACCACAGAATATTCACTCAATAAAGAACCTGTGGAAAAAAAAAATTTGATTGATTCATAAATAAATTAACACTAATGGTATCAGTAATGGTATGCTATCAGTAAGGGAAAATACCATTAATCCTAGTCCAAGTGCCTAAATTAGTATAAAAGTAAACCATTGTACATAGAAAATACATTATAACATATGTTATAACAATATTGTGAGTTTATTCTTTATGCATTTTGCTACCAAGTGATTAGATTAAAACTTACCACCACTTGTTTTTAGGGTAAAATCTTCAAAGATATTCATCCAGTAACTCTGTAACTCAGTAAAAGGGTGGAGTCCAGGCTTAATATTTAGGATCAATAAGGAATAAGGACTTCTTGATCCAATATCTGCATTTTTGTCTCTCTCTCCTCCTTCCCAATAGAGTTAGAGAGCTTTTAATAAAAACATAAATGTTTTTTTTTTTATTCTGCCGACAGTAGTCTCTACTAATACTAGTGACTAGCGATAATGATAATTAAATTTAAACACATTTCTACTATGCAATATTAGAAAATTTAGAAGATTATTCTTGGCTGTAACATATTTTAAAGAAATATATTTAGTTAATAACTCAGAAGTCCTTAACTTTAAATTTATTTAATTACGCAAGTTCCAATCGACCGAAATTTTCCGCTATTTTTTTAAAATATTTATTTCGCATAGCGACGCTATTTATTTATTATATAATTATTGAAACTCAATATAATTCAAATAGAATATATCAATGTAAGTATAAATGGATAATATATACTTCAGCCAATTAAAATTATAAAAATATCACTTTATTGTTTTATTATTAATTTTAAAGTCGGGAAATGATAATTAAAATTAAGCTTACTTGTTTACGATAGCATTAGTCGGTACTTTTATATGCAAATCGTGATAAATTTCATGATTAGAGTCTCCATTTGGATACATTGCTTTAGACAAACAAATAACTCCTTGATAAATCGGGAAATTAAAATCATTTGACAATATTCATACTACTATTTAATTTTTTTTGTGAGACTTATATTTTTTGTTTTTTTGGAAATCTGCGAAGCTTTCAAGGGATACTCCGCGCTGAATAAGTTTCCAAAAATATTTTGTTTAAATAGTAATTTCAAATTTTGTAATAATTTTAAATTTTTTACAAATACTTACACCAATGAAACAAATTATTAAAATATAATAAATAATTTTTTTCAATAAAAAAAAAAGTTAAAAAATAAATAACCCACCCATAAATTCTATGGTACTTATATGTACCATTTCTCTATAGTCGGACTGCAGAGAGTTAACATTTGTAAAAATATCTAGAAAATTCTTATCTTTTATGACAATTTCACATTGATATGCTTTAAATTTCATTTTATTTGACTCCTATATTTCTAATATTGCTTAATTTAATTTTTTTCTCTTTTTAAAGTGGTCCATTTAGGATTTTCCATTTATCTCTGACGTCAAATGTGTTATGAGGAAAAGTATTACTACCATATGCTTCAAAATTTGCAATGTTTTTTATATTTTATATTCTCTGCATAATGATTGAATTTTTTTTTTTTTTACATGTCTCATAAACAAAATTCCGAAGTTTTTATGATCTTATTATTTTTATTAGGCTCGAGGCTAGTGGGTTGTTGGGAAAATGCATTCATTTATATTCTATCAATTATAGCTATGTACTTAAATTGTTTTTTTTTTAAATTAACGAGTGGAATGTGTTCATGATGTATGCATCCAATGTTGTTCAAATAACCTTTAATTTTTTTAATAAGCATTTGTCAATGTCTTTTTCAGCTTTTATCGATACAGCATTTTAATTTTTTTTTCTGACGTCAATTGATGAATCAGGAGGAATAGTTTAGGAACTACATAGCCTAATTGTAACATTGCATGCTTATTTATATTGACATTCTCTACTTAATGATGGATGGTTTTTAAACAAATATCTTAAAGGAAAATTGTTCAGAATTTTTTTATTTATGTATTTTTTTTATTAGGTTCGTGTGTTAATTTTTTTCTATCTTTTCTGTCTTAGTTTTCTAATTGTTTTTTAATTCATGAATGATATATGTGCATGGTGTATGCATCCTATATCGTTCATGCAGCCCTCTAATTTAAAAAAACACAATTTTATACTTTTTTTCATTTTTCTAAATTTTGCATTTTTCGGATTTTTTAGGAACGCCAAATGAATTGGGAGGAAAAGTATTTTAGCTACAGCCTTCAAACATTGAATGCGTCTTTTCATTGATATTCTTTACAAAATTCACGAGGCTTTTTTTATATACCGGGTATATCCAACTAGAAAAGGTTTATAACATTTTTACATTTGCTACTCCTGAAGAGTTCTCGAATATTTATGTGACCCCCCCCCCCCCCCCCCCCCNTTTATTTTATGGATTACTTGAGTACACGACTCAAATAACTAACAACCAAACAAAAATGTTCTCAAGTCAAAAAGGTTTTGTTTTTCTATTAAATTTTAAATTATGTACCATTGTGTTAGACCCAGTAGACAGCTATGGTAAAAAAAAAGACAAGTCCTCCAAAAATAAGTCTCCTTCTCATACTTTATACAATGGCATCCTTTAACTTTAAGATGTTGATTGCAACTACCTTGTGAATTAGGTCAAGTCAAATGAGAAAGGTTGTTGAAAGGAGATTCGAGATATCAGGGAAAACAGTCAGTGTCCGCATGTATGACTCCCAGTGCCAAGGAAAAAGTTTAAAATTGGTGGTTTTGTTCTGACTAAGCCAAGCTCTCTAGAGGAATAGTTGAAATTAATTCACTATGAATGCAATTATCATTATTTAGAATACCTATTAATTTATAAATTACTGTGTGATTAAATCTTTTAACTTAAACAATACACATAAATAATCTTAAATAAAGGATTTATTTTTAATAATTAAAATAATATTATTACTTTTCTAAAATCCAAATAAAAAAAATAAATGTAACTAAAACATCTTCATTAATAGATTTAAAAAAAAAAAATGATCTACGAAAATGGCTTATACTAAAAAAAAAAAATAGGAATGAAAAAAATCTACCAGTCCTAAGAGAAATTAACAAAGCAAAAAATAAAAAAACTAAAAAGAATAAAACTATGAATCTATGAAATAACAAGGAGGAAAAAAAATGTTTAAAAAATAATTCTCATACTATTATTGTTATCACACCCGGCTCCGAAGCCATTTAATCTGTGCGGAGCCACTCCGGGTGCGAATAGTCATTTGCGATTAAAGGTACCCGGGTACCTATAGATGCAGCCAATTGTAATACTACTGGCCCTTACAGTAGGATGACCAAATCATGAACTAGAAAAAATGGGACACGCCCAATGAAGGATAGGGGGGATACCCTCCGGCTAAAGAGGGGTCCGGGGGGCCTCTGCGGGGAAGCTGTTTATTGAAATATGCTCATTTCAAATATTTTGAGATCTAGAAATCTGTTTAAATTACCTTCACTTTTGTAATTTAATTTATAATTTATTAATATCATAAACGAAAACTATAATTTTACAGTGAATGCTTATTTATTTATAGCCTACATATTTTACAACATAATACAACGCAATAAATTAAATGCAGCCACCAGGCAAGCCCACATCACTACTGAATTGGCTACACAGCTAGTCAAAATATTACTTGAAGTTATATTATAAATTAGGAAGTTTTAGTGATTTGAACATGTGTTTGGTTTTAGAAACGGGACATTTAGGCGTCCCGAAAGACTTTTTTCGGGACACCGGGTAGGATCGTGAAAAATGGGACAATCCCGTTATTACGGGACGTTTGGCCACCCTACCTTACAGCAAATTTACTGTTATGGCACCGTAAATATATCATAAAGACACATTAATGTGGTAAATTTACCACATTGCACCGTAAAAATACGGTACTTATCAGTAATAAATATTTGATAAAACTGTAATATTACGAGCCCTTACAGTAAAATTACTGTAACTGTACCGTAAGAATACGGTACAATAGCAGTAACTATACGACACTCTGTAAAACTACTCGAACTTATAGTAAATTTACTATATCTCACCGTAAATGTACAATAATTTACCGTAAACACACATTAATGCAGTAAAGTGCCATATTAATGTTTTACGGTATTCTACCATAAAAATGTTTACGGTAGTGTACAGTTTTCTTACGAGATTTAGTTGGCAGCTAGTTGACTTTAAAAAAAAGACGTAAATATTGTTTGCTGTGAAGGCTAATTCTCAAGTCGAAAATTGCCTTGGTCATCTTCGCATGCGAAGGACGAACAGTAATATAGATTGTGTAACTAATTTTATGTAACTGATTGTTAATGTTAACTTTGTGTAACGAATTCTTAAGTTTATGTAACTTATTGTTATGTTTCTGTAACTGATTATTAAGTTTGTGTAACAGATTAAGTTTATGTAACAAATTGTTATGTTCATGTAACTTATTATGTAACTAATTGAGTAGTTTGTGTAAATGGTTATTAAGTTTGTGAAACTAATTCTTAAGTTTATGTAACTAATTGTTCTGTTTTTGTAACTAATTGTTAATTTTGTGTAACTGATTATTTAGTTTGGGTAACTGATTGTTAAGTTTGTGTAGCTGATTGTTAAGTTTGTGTAGCTGATTGTTAAGTTTGTGTAGCTGATTGTTAAGTTTGTGTAGCTGATTGTTAAGTTTGTGTAGCTGATTGTTAAGTTTGTGTAGCTGATTGTATTGTGCGTGTTAATGATGCTACAGTCTGTTGAGCTGGTTGCTCTCTCTGACTCCAAGTGCTTGCTGCTGTAAGGTAACTAGCATGTGTGTACAGTAGACCCGCATCTGTGTGCAGTAGAACAGCATTGTGTGTGCTGACATGACCCAATACCGGCGTGCATCATTCTGCAGTGAAACCGGTAACGTTGGAATTGGAATCTGTGAAAGGTCAGACATCAAAAATGCTTTAGACTATCAGTCAGTGGGGCATCTATGGTGCTTTAGACTATCAGACAGTGGGTCATCTATAGTGCTTTAGACTATCAGTCAGTGGGGCATCTATGGTGCTTTAGACTATCAGACAGTGGGGCATCTATGGTGCTCTAGACTATCAGACAGTGGGTCATCTATAGTGCTTTAGACTATCAGTCAGTGGGGCATCTATGGTGCTTTAGAATATCAGACAGTGGGGCATCTATGGTGCTTTAGACTATCAGACAGTGGGGCATCTATAGTGCTCTAGACTATCAGACAGTGGGGCATCTATAGTGCTTTAGACTATCAGTCAGTGGGTCATCTATAGTGCTCTAGACTATCAGACAGTGGGGCATCTATGGTGCTTTAGACTATCAGTCAGTGGGTCATCTATAGTGCTCTAGACTATCAGTCAGTGGGTCATCTATGGTGCTTTAGACTATCAGACAGTGGGTCATCTATGGTGCTTTAGACTATCAGACAGTGGGTCATCTATGGTGCTTTAGACTATCAGACAGTGGGTCATCTATGGTGCTTTAGACTATCAGACAGTGGGTCATCTATGGTGCTTTAAACTATCAGACAGTGGGTCATCTATGGTGCTTTAGACTATCAGACAGTGGGTCATCTATGGTGCTTTAGACTTTCAAACACTGACTAGTACTTTATGTAATCGGTGAGACATGTTTAGTGCTTTAGACTCAATGTGAGTCGCCTATAGTCAAGTAGACTAACTTTAAGTCATCTATAGTAATTTAGACTCACTCATGATATGTAATAGAGTCATATTATTATACTGATTAAATATATTTTAGTCCATATTTTAAGTCAAAGCAAGTTAAAAATAAAAATATTGAATTAATGTGGCACCGGTATCTTGCAAAGTGGGAGACATGACAATCACTGGTACAGTGAGAGACATGACAATCACTGGTACAGTGAGAGACATGACAATCACTGGTACAGTGGGAGACATGACAATCACTGGTACAGTGGGAGACATGGCAATCAGTGGTACAGTGAGAGACATGGCAATCACTGGTACAATGTGAGACATGACAATCACTGTTACGGTGGGAAACGTGACAATCATAGGTACGGTAGGAGACGTGACAATCACTGGTACTGTTGGAAACGTGACAATCGCTGTACTTAACTGGCAAGTTTGTGAAATACTTAACTCTAACATTCGGGGAGTCATCCATATTGCCCTAGAATTATGTCCCTAATAAATATCCGAGGCCTCCAGCACTTTGGGCCCCATAAATATCCGAGGCCTCAAGCACTTTGGGCCCCATAAATATCCGGGGCTTCAAGCACTTTGGGCCCCATAAATATCCGAGGCCTCAAGCACTTTGGGCCCCATAAATATCCGGGGCTTCAAGCACTTTGGGCCCCATAAATATCCAAGGCCTCAAGCACTTTGGGCCCCATAAATATCCGGGGCCTCAAGCAGCTGAAGGGTTTGCAGGGCCCATGCTACGTCTATGTCCCAATTAAGTTATTTTTTTCTAATCTCTCCCACTTAAATTTATTTGAAGTCATTTCTCGGCTACATCATTAAGTAGAGTCGTCTTCGTCGTAATAAGGTCATCCTGGATATTTACCTGAGGCCCCCTGGGGCCGCACGGGTTGCAGAGTCCACGCGACGGTCCTGGGACGTGCTTAGAAAACTATAACATTATAAGTAATATTTTCAATTTAAATTTCGATTCTTTAATACTGTCTGTTGGTTGGGGTAAACTAAGCAGTTGTCACCAGTAAGTCATATCGCTTGGCTATAGTAGTTGCACATTGCACACTTCAGCCAATAGCGAACGCTCTCCTGACACCTTGCTTCACTGATGATGTTTCCACGTTGCCCCTGACACGTTGCTCCACTGATGATGTTTCCACGTTGCCCCTGACACGTTGCTCCACTGATGATGTTTCCACGTTGCCCCTGACACGTTGCTCCACTGATGATGTTTCTAATAAGGTGCTCCTGACACCATACTCCACCGATGATGTTTCCAAATTCCTCCTGAAAACTTGCTCCACTGATGATGTTTCCAACTTGCTCAAGACACCTTGGTCCAACGATGATGTTTCAAGTTGCACCTGACACCTTGCTCCACTGATGATGCTTCCAAGTTGTTCCTGGCGTCTTGTTCCACTTATGATGTTTCCAAGTTGATCCTGACACCTTGCTCCACTGATGATGTTTCCAAGTTGCGCCAGACGCATTGTTCTGCTGATGATGTTTCCAAGCTGCTCCTGACACCCTGCTCCACTGATGATGTTTCGAAGTTGATCCTGACACCTTGCTCCATTGATGATGCTTCCAAGTTGCTCCTGACACCTTGCTCCATTAATGATGTTTCGAAGTTGCTTCTGACACCTTGTCCACTGATGATTTTTCCAAGTTTCTCCTGACACCTTGCTCCATTGATGATGTTTCTAAGTTGCTCTTGACACTTTGCTCCACTGATGATATTTCCAAGTTGCTCCTTACACCTTGCTCCACTGATGATGTTTCTAAGTTCTTCTTGACACCTTGCTCTATTGATGATGTTTCGAAGTTGCTCCTGACACTTTGCTCCACTGATAATGTTTCCAAGTTGCTCCTGACACCGTGCTCCACTGATGATAGTTTAAAGATGCTCCTAAAACATTGCTCCACTCATGATGTTTCCAAGCTGCTCCTGACACCGTGTTCTACTGATGATGTTTCCAAGTTGCTCCTGACACCTTGCTCCACTGATGATTTTAGAAGTTGCTCCTGACACCTTGCTCCACGTATGACGTTTCAAGTTGCTCGTGACACCTTTGCTCCACTGATGATGTTCCCAAGTTGCTCCTGACACCTTGCTTCAGTGATGATGTTTACAACTTGCTCAAGACACCTTGCTCCAGTGATGACATTTTCTTGACTCATAGTTATGTTCTCACTATTTTAAGACCAGCATTGAGCCATGTTAGTGAAACATGGACCCTCACCAAGTAAGCCGTAAGTCTGCGAATACGTTGAATATGATTTCCTCATACAAATGTAAGGGATGATGATGGACTGAGCCTTTGGAGACCTCAAGAGATCTCCCAGTTTTACGTAGACCCATGCAGAGTCGCGGCAGTTAGAAAATGCAGGCAGCACTGAACAGGATGTCTTGCGAGTGTGCCAACTTAATGAGGGGCATAGATATCTAAATATCGAGGGATTTCTAAGTTGGATATTCGCCTAACGATAGTTTACTTAACCTTACATATTATAGACGACGAATTTTACAACAATGATTTTATTTTCAAAATATTTTTTTACAGAAAACATGGCTGTCTTTTACTTCTGCTCACTTTTATTCGCTACGTTCCATTGTTTGTGTCCTGGAGTTTATCCACTCGCCAGCTCCCCAGTGACATTAAACACGAGTCTTGGGCCTGTGACAGGACTTACGAAACGCGTAGCCGGCGTCTACGTTGATATTTTCTACGGCATCCCATTCGCGACTCCTCCTGTTGGAGAGCTCCGCTTCAAACCCCCGGTGCCAGCCCAACCGTGGCGAGACCCACGTGACGTCACACAGAGGCCGAACTCTTGCTGGCAGGTCATTGACACGGCTTTCAATCGCTTCCCTGGGGTTGAGATGTGGAACCCGAACACGCCAATGAGTGAGGACTGCCTGTACCTCAACGTGTGGAGGCCGGCCGGTATCATGTCCAGCGCCAAGCCAATCATGGTGTGGATCTTCGGGGGTAGTTTTCTCACGGGGTCCTCAACACTGGACGTCTACGACCCCTCACAGTTGGCTGCGAGAAATGATGTCATCGTCGTGACCATCGCCTACAGACTCGGAGCTTTGGGATTTCTCTACGCGGGCACTAGTGACGCCCCGGGTAACGCCGGGTTGCTGGATCAGGCGATGGCGCTTAAATGGGTCAAGGACAATGCGGTAACCCTTGGGGGCTCTCCCGATGCCATCACACTGTTTGGCGAGAGTGCCGGGGCCATAAGTATTGGGCTCCACATGGTGTCCCCAGTTTCGAAACACCTTTTCACATACGCCATCATGGAGAGTGGATCACTCTTTCTAACAGGCGTTTTCCGAGATCAGGCTACGGCGAGATCCGGAACGAGGTATCTGGCCAAAACACTCTCTTGTCCTGGAACAGAATTCAGGGACATCGTTGCATGTCTGAGAGTGAAAGACCCGGAAGCGATTGTAAACCAACAGCTTGGCTTCTTTGGTCCTGTCGTGGACGGAACATTTCTTCAAGATGACCCATCCGAGCTGGTCAACAGAGGGGAGATAAAGCCCACCAGCATCTTAACAGGAGTCAACGCCAACGAAGGGAGCTTCTTTGCTGCGTACGAGTTCAAAAATAAGTTCACACTAGACGGAATGGGACATCTGACTGAGAGAGACTATGACGCTTTTCTACGTTCGAGGCATCCCGACGATGCGTCTGCAGTCTCTGAGCTCAATAGAACATATGGGAAAGACCCGACCATTTCGTACGCCGGTCGTGTGGAAGCCATCATTGGGGACGACATGTTTAAATGTCCCGCGGTGAAGTTCGCTCAGCGGTACGCGCCTCTTGGGGAGAATGTCTACCTTTACAGCTTCGAACACAGACTGAGCACCATCCCGTGGCCGCAGTGGATGGGAGTCCCCCACGCATACGAGATTGAGGTCGTCTTTGGCATTCCCTTTATGCCTAACACGAGCTACACGGATGATGAGAGAGAACTGAGTAAGCGAGTGATGACGATGTGGACTAACTTCGCCAAATATGGGTAAGACGGTTCATTTAGAAAGTTTCCTCCATTGACCTACTTGTAAGAATGTTAAAGATATAGTCTTTCCAAATAGGCCTAGTTTTAAGAATGTTAAAGATATAGTCTTTCCAAATGAACATACTTGTGAAAAATTTCAAACACATAAACTTCCCAAAAGACATACCTGTAAGTAAGTTAGGTTACATGGTCTTGGCAACAGACCTTCTTGTAAGATTTCTAAAGAAGATTTTTATCGATGAGTGAAAATAAATCAATTGGCAATTTGAAAAAGGAAAGGCATCGTCTACTTCCGGGTTATTAAAACATTATTTCAGGTGGTTGTTTCCCTTCTTTTTCCATGGAGTGGGGTTATGTTCACAACAAAATCTTAACTTTTTCAAAGAAGATATATTAGAGTGGGGCAGATTAAAGCCCTACGGGCCCCAAACACAGGCAACATATTGATTATGCAAGAAATAGGATTAAGTAAGAAATGCAATTAAGTAAGAAATGTGATTATGTAATGAAACTGCACGTGAATTCTGAAATCCAGATACCCACATTACCCGTTAATCTGACCCTCCGGCAGAGCTCTCATATGTCCATTGCTATTCTATCGCTGCTCACTCACTAGAATGTACAGTACAAATACGTGCATCTATTTTTTTTCTAGAAATCCCAATGGTATCGGTAGTGACCAGTGGCCGAGATACACCACCAGAGACCAGAAGTACGTCATCATAGACTCCGGTGAGCTCAGAGTGGCTTCCCATTTGCGACAGCATGAGTGTGGAGCCTTGGCTAGCAGTGGCCAGATGCTTACCTGCCTGTATCTGGTCCTATTGTGGCCTACATACCGGGTCTTTATGGCATTGATGCAAGGGTCAAGTTTACGTTAATATCTCTGTTAAGCTTGTGTTCAGTGGTATAGTGTAAAAAAACAAACAACTGCATTCTCTTTTACATATTCTCTTTTACATATTTTCTTTTACACCGATTTCTTCCTGATCATGTCATGAGCTTTCACATAGCCCTGTAGGATAAGATATCCCTCAATAAAGATTAAAAGCCCTATCTGACAAGTTATGATACAAGTAAAGTTAATTTAATATGTCATTGTTTCATGTTTCCCTTAAAAACATTGTCTCATGTTTCCCTTGACGTCATTGTCTAATATTTCCCTTGACGTCATTGTCTAATGTTTCCCTTGACGACATTGTCTCATGTTTCCCTTGACGTCATTGTCTCATGTTTCCCTTGAAGTCATTGTCTCATGTTTCCCTTGACGTCATTGTGTCTTGTTTCACTTAACTCATTCCCTCCGGCAGCGCTGCTTCCGGACTTAATTTATTTTCCTGAGAAAAGGGAAGCAACTCAGTTTTGAAATTGATTTATATTTTACAAATATTTTTTTAAGTTGCTAAATATTATTTAATGTTAATGAATTAAGAACAAATGCAACAAAAAATGAATAAGGTTTAATATAAATATAACATTAGCGGGGGAAAAATAACGAACAATGGCCAAAAAAATCGATTTTCGGCACCTCGGACGAACACATGGTACATATAGACGCGCCGTACTAAAGCACACGTAGTTTTAAAGTGAAACAAGATAAAAACTTCCGGTTTCTAAATTAAAATCACGCAGAAATCACGCCATAGCCGGAAGTCTCGAGGGGTGCGAGATTTCATTGCTATTTTTAACTAAAAATAAGAGAGGTGTGTCGCTATGCGCCGGGACGCATTTGGACGCATCAGGAGGGACCCCCCGAGGACGCATTTAGTCGCAACCGTCGGGAATGAGTTAACCTCGTTGTCTTACGACTAACATTTTGGACACGTGTTCATTATTAGCAATTGTACACCAGAAAAGCGTTGGATATCATATCATCTTCCCGTTGAATGCTTTAAGTTTGAACTTGTATTTGCCTTCTGTTGTTTGACACATGAAAATGTGCATCTGCTGTCACCTAGTGTTGCCCATCTCTGTTGTCACCTAGTGTTGCCCACCTCTGCTATCACCTATTGTTTCCCATCTCTGTTGTCACCTATTGTTGCCCAACTCTACTGTCACCTATTGTTGCCCATTTCTGTTGTTACTTTTTGTTGGCCATCCCTGTGGTCACCTATTGTTAGCCATCTCGTAGCCATGCAAATCTTTTCTTTAAAATATGACTCATTTGAAAAGAAGGTCATGTTTCATACACACTGATTTAATGCACAAAAACCGATAACTCAAATAAATTACCTTTAATTGGAATGAGAACAGAAAATGAAAAAAAATATGTTTGAATACAGACTCAAAGGCTTTGTTTTGTTTACAAAGGTAAAATACAAGAGGTATGTCATAGTTTTGCACGAGGTGTGTCATAGCTTTATATGAGGTATGTCATATCTTTATACTAGATGCAACAAAACTCTGAATGGTATAGAGTAAAGCCATATGAGGCTGAAATTTAAAAAAAAATAACGATAAAGAAAGCAAGTGGCCTTAAAAAAATATATATATTGAAGTGTTCGGTAACTTCCGTAAGTGACAGGAGGCTATATTTATCTAAATTCTGAGAAATCGGGCTTCCCATCGACACAAAATACGGTGTGGTCGGGCGATAAGTATAAGAATCGGTAAAAATTAATAACTTATAAAATTTTTTAGCCATTTATAAGGTTAAAAAATATATTATTTTTACACAATTTTCAATCTTTCATTGATTAATTCTTATTTAATTAAATTTAAATAAAGAACATTTTTTGAAGATATATATAATATTATATTTTGAAACCCAGAAATACTCAAAAATTAATATTTTCCTCGATTCGTCACTAGTATCGCTCCTTAACCTTTGAGTACAATTGTCATATTTCAACTGCTGTGTTTTACCTGGTACCTTCCTGTGTTGTATTTAGACAGTGCTTGACTGCTGTTTTTGAACTGTCGTCAGTAATTTTTTTTGTTGTCTTGAACATGACAAAATTAAAGTATTTCAATCGTTCTAGATTTTATTTCATGCTACACGGTTTGCACAAATCTAAAAGGCCAAGAGACTCTCAGTCTCAGCAGTTACAAACAAAAAAGAAAATACAATATTCACTAAAATTCCTACCAAAATACATTCTTCGATATCCCGAAACCAAATGATGACCAGGGTCAGGGTTCATCGAAAGACTTTCCTCAGCCTACCATTGATACTGATTCTCCCAATGCCAGCAGCATGCATTCTTTTTAGCAAACAGTTTAGAAAATGGAAGAGATTGACGTGAAAATACAAGTAAAAGGTCATGGATGGTTTGGAAACAGAAATGTCTGCTGATAAGGTTGATTCAAACTAAGATAATGTGCGTGTAACGGATAATGCCAACAACTGAAACATTTTATCAGATCCCTCTCTCTGGAATGTAATAGTTCCAGATTATTTTCGGTCTGAAATTTTTAAAATATGGAGGACCTCGTTTCAGAAAAGCGTAGTGACAAGGCAAAATGCGAAATCTAATTGAGGTGTTCGCCAAATAACAAAACAATGGATCTACCGGATGATGCAAAATGGCCATAAAATACTGCGGTCGTGGATGGTTTATTCACTCGTCAGTCAGACATGGTAATGGTTTTTGCTGCAGATTGTTTGCTGTTAAGTTTACATAAACAACATTGAAATTTGTTACTGGCTTTGATAAGTGGTGGAAACTGAGCCCAAGGTTACAAAAATCATGAAGCATCCGAAGAGCACTTATGTTGCTTTGAAAAGTGGAAAGCATTGGCAGAAGGACTTAGGATACACAACATAATTGATGCCGAAAGTATTGCTTTGATGGACAGGGAGAAGAAAAAGTTGAGGGATACCCTGCACCTTGTGACAAACCTAGAGGGTTTAGACTGTTTCTGCACGAGAAGCGCTGTCACTTGGTGGAAAATGCTATTGAAAATGCACTTTTAAAATCAGACCAATATGGAATTTCGATAGAGAGAAGATTAGGGTTTAAGAAGAGAATTGTAGGAGAACAAATAATAGATACTGGACTCTTTCTGCGAGAAGAAAACAGTAGGGAGATGCTGGAGTGCATTATTGCTTTCATTCTGAACTCCAGATCAGATCATCAGGGATCAAGGAAGTAGCAGATATATATGGGGCTGTTAAACTCCAGGAGTCTAGTATCAGTAAGTGAAGAAGAGTTATTGGTGTCCGTTCCAAAATTAAATTCTTTCTATGATGAGTTATCAGATGATGAACTTTAAAAAAAAAATACCAAGACCTAGAAGACACTAAAGGCCACTGATATTGAATTTCACAAAATCCTGGACTCATCAGTATTTGAGGTTTTGAAATTCATAGCTGAACTGAATGAGACTTCCTAGAATCTTTTCCAATACTCTCGATAAGCCATTAATTTTTTTCTTACGGTATGTGTGTATGTGGCTTTATGTGAGTGGAGTTTTTCAAAACTAAGGCTTATCAAGAAATATTTATGATCCACAATGGGACAGTCTAGGCTTTCTTATGCGGCTCTGCTATCAATTGAAAGTGATACAGTGAAGGACATTAATTTTGATCAAGTGATTGACAGGTTTGCAGCTTTGAGGACAAGGAAAGGAAAATAATTTTATTTAAATAAAGTAAATTTAATATAATGTAGCCGAGTGGATGACGTAGCTTACAGTTTAAATGAAATCACAATAAAACAATCAGGTCTGAGAACTATAGCTTTTAATGTAAAAGGTACAATGCGTTGACAGAGCCGACAGGAAAATCTCTCACACCTGCCATCGACCCGACGCATCCGTTCCACACTACAATCTCAAAAATGTACACACCTCAAGTCCCAGTTCGCCCCCCCCCTCCCACACACACACACAGTCACAGGGAACCCGCGTCCGAGCTGACCATGGGTCAACCCCGTAGCAGGGATGGTTATTCCCGCGTCTAAATAACCTACATAAAATTTAAGGCCAGTACACGGCTGAGTGTTACGTTGAATGACCATGGATAATGGATGTGTACGTGCTTGGGGTTACCCATAGCAGTCACACTATGACTATGAGAGTGGATTCTCTTATATAGTGGCACATTGCCACATCCACCCCAACTGTTTAAATCCCAGCGTCCCCGCTGGGCTACTACTTTGTAATAAAAATTTAGAGAACGATCGAATATTTAAAAACAAATTAAAACACTTAGCATAAACAACAACTAGGACTAGTGTCTTTTTGTGCCACTGCCTTAATTCCGTTTCTCTCGATTTGCGATGCAAAGTGATCTGCGTGGTATAACTGGTGGAGGTACTACTGGTGAAGGTACTACTGGTGAAGGTACTATTGGTGGAGGTACCACTGGTGGAGGTACTACTGGTGGAGGTACTATTGGTGGAGGTACCACTGGTGGAGGTACTATTGGTGGAGGTACTATTGGTGGAGGTACCACTGGTGGAGGTACTATTGGTGGAGGTACCACTGGTGGAGGTACTATTGGTGGAGGTACTATTGGTGGAGGTACCACTGGTGGAGGTACTACTGGTGAAGGTACTACTGGTGAAGGTACTATTGGTGGAGGTACTACTGGTGGAGGTACTACTGGTGAAGGTACTACTGGTGAAGGTACTATTGGTGGAGGTACTACTGGTGAAGGTACTATTGGTGGAGGTACTACTGGTGGAGGTACTACTTGCGTTGTTGTCACGTGTTTACCTCGTGAGTGTGATGAATGTTGGGGAGCAGCAATGACAGGTACACATGTGTCATGCCGTTGTAGTGAAACCTGTCTTGATGGGATAGCATCTAAACTGGACACGCCTGATTTTGAGTCGTAACTAAATGTCCTTGTTTGTGAGGATGAGCTAATATTGTTCAGGTGCCCTGTACTCATTGTACGGGAAGTTGGTGGTGGCGAAACCACGGTAGGGATTGAATCCTCTGTGGTTTGATGGGCTTCTTCCATTGGATCACTTTCATTTTTTAATAAAATTTCAGCTTTCTCAAAAACATTCAGAAGTTCTCCCTTAGAATTAAAAACGTGTGTCTTTGTTTTTAGTGTTACTGTGTGGGTCATGATAACGGTTCTACTCTCAACATCTGGGCAAACTGCCGGTTGTTTTGGTGCAACACTAACAGAACCATCCTGGAAAACAGTGTCAGAAAAATTAACTGTTGATCTCTTCCTAATATTTCGAAGGTCAATATGACCAGCTGTATTAGTCACACTTTGGGGTTGAAGTTTAAGAATCGTATTTGCGTCTGAGTTTGTGGATCGCACATTCTCAGATTTAGTTCCAACAACAGTAGGGCTAAACTGATCAGGCTCTCTTACATATGTTGACACATGTTGACCAACAGTCGGCTGGTCGTGAGCAGCATCATGGCCAAATGGCATCTTGGA